TTGTAGTAGTCAGTCGATATTTTTCAAGTTTAGCAGGCTCAACGAGTCGATCCATCATTCAATGAGTTGCTTATCATTAATAAATTCAATTTTACTTACATTTTGCAAGAGAATAAGTATTAAAATTAAACATAATTAAATATTATTATTAAATAAAATAAGTTATCATAAGAAAGAAGTATTTATATTAATTTATCATTTATAACATTAAAATGTCCAGATAAAAAAATAAAATAAAAAGATGTATATTTTCAGTTGCCCATAATCACAAATTTTTTATTGTAATTAAGAGAATTAATACTATATACTGGTGCTAAATAGTTTTTTTTTTTTTTGGTTTTTTTCTTTTTCTATGCATCTTGAAATTCAAGTGTAACATGCGATTTTCATCGATGAATCTTCTAACCTTGATAAACATTGGTAATTTGTAACAAAATATTTAAAAAATCCATTAGCTGATGCATTATATTTTTTCATATGATATAATGATAGAAAAATTTAACAATATGATAATAAAAAAACGTGGAATTCACTAGGGAGAAACTTTTCAAATTGAAAAAAATAATAAAGGTCTGTGTGAGACAGTTAGAGACAAACAATAGAAGAAAAACATGTTAAGATATTGAAATTAATCATATGAATAAAAAATCATGTAAAGAATAAGGAAAAAAAATCGATCGAGATAATAGTGAAAAATGAAATAAATATTACAAATTTTTTAAGGACATGACGCTTTAAAGATACGTCATAAAATTTAGAAAAATAAAGTGAAGACTATACAACCAAGGAAAAAAAATCATATAGAAAAATATACAAACGAACTTCTAAAAAAGGTTAATTACAAAACGTATATAGAGAGACGTAAAATAACTATAAGTTTATGGAAATACATAATGAGAAACTTTCTATTAGACTGAGAGTTTAAAAGATATGATATGGTTAGACCTATTTAGAGAGATCATTATGAGAAATTAATAGAATACTTTTAAAAGATATAAAATTATAAATGAACGAAACGAAAAATATGGACAATAAACTACATTGGATGTTCCGAATATTAAAATTCATTCCAAATGTACTTAAAATTAGAAAACACATTGACATTAAAAATTACGATTGCAATTTATATCATTATTATTATATTTTTTTACATATATCACTCCGTAAAGAATTTCATATAATCGTTAAATCATTGAACTCGAATGTATCATGAACAAACCGCACACCGTGCAGAATAAACACTAGTATATATTAATTAAAGCAAAGTTCTTAATTGACACGTCTCGGCCATGGAGCAAGTTTAGCCAATTGTGCCACATGTCGTCACCAAAATTCTCCTTCATTAAACAGTTAAAAATTTATTACTAATACATAAAATTGTTAAATTGAATTAAGTAATTAACCAATAGTTCATTTGTGAAAAATAAATACGTGTTTGGTAATTATTGACAAATATATGACATAAGGAAACATTAATCATCAAATTAATAATTGTATTAAGAATACAGTTCGAAACTAAGTCTGGATACATTAAACGTAGGATGATTCTGTTTGATTTTCTAAAAATTAAAAGATATTAGTTACAAAAAAAAAGATTGTTACCAAATAACTATATTACGAATACAAATCAAAACCAAGTCTACCAACACTAAAAGTATGTTAATATTTTTTCTTAGATGATTGATACATTTTCCATAAATAAAATGAGACTACTTACCAAAATGATGAGATTATTTACAAAATAATATACGAGTACAATTCAAAACTGAGTTTCGATACATTAAACATAAGTTGATAATATTTTTCTGATTATTTCCAAAAATAAAAATAGATTAGTTACCAATAACAAAAAAATACATTTGTTACCAAATAATTATACTGCGAATAAATACGAAATCAAGTCTACCTACATTACAAGTATGCTAATATTATTTCATCGATGATTGATATATTTTCCATAAATAAAAAGAGACTACTTACCAAAACAATGAGATTATTTATTAAATAATTATACGAGTACAATTCAAAACTAAGTCTGGAGACATTAAACATAAGTTGATAGTATTTTTCTGATAATTCTATTTGATATATTTTCTAAAAATAAAAATAGATTAGTTACCAATAACAAAAAAATATTTGTTACCAAACAATTATACTGCGAATACAATACGAAATCAAGTCTACCTACATTACAAGTATGTAAATATTATTTCATAGATGATTGGTATATTTTCAATAAATAAAAAGAGATTACTTACCAAATCGATGAGATTATATACAAAATAATTATACGGGTATAATTCAAAACTAACTCTTGATACATTAAACATAAGTTTATAATGTTTTTCTAATGATTCTCTTTGATATATTTTCCAAAAATAAAAATATATTAGTTACCAATAACCAAAAAAAAGATATTTGTTACCAAATAATTATACTGCGAATACAATACAAAACTAAGTCTGGATAAATTAAACGTATGTTTATATTATTTTTCAGATTATTCTATTTGATATATTTTTCAAAAATAAAAAAGATATTAGTTACTAAATAATTATACTACAAATGCAATTCGAAACCAAGTCAGTATACATGCAAAATAGGTTAATATTATTTTATAGATGATTCCATTTAATATATTTTTCAAAAAATAAAAAGAGATTAATTTAAAAAAATAAAAGGAGATTAGTAACAAATAATTATATTATGAATACAATTTGAAAACCAAGTCTGGATTCATTAAATTTTGATTAATATTATTTCTCAAAATATTTTTCCCTTTCTTTTGAATTGTCAACTAATTATTTTATGTTGCATTTTAAACTTCGACATTGTAAAGAAAATTTTGGTACTACTGACATACCATTTCTTTTCTAGAGGGGAGGTGTCATTTTTAGAACATTCATTATATTTTCCATGTTAAGGATTATTTCTGTTGTATGTCATTGAAAAATATTTATGAGTTTTGATGGTTTTTTTTAAACAATCACGAGTGTCTCATTTTGGTATGTTTTGCACCGTTGCTATTATAGAATTTCAATAGGTTTAGCTAAAAAATAGTTATGCGTCAATCTCGGTCTAAAGGAACCAAATAGACTAAACGAAATTGCTCATGCTCTAGAGTCTGAAGGTAAATATATATTTTATTTGAGATATTAATAGTTAAATATATTCACTTTAAGTCTATGATTATCTATGTATTTTGGTTTTACAGGAGAAGTATGGCACCGTGATAGCAAAAAGAGTAAGTACATTAAAAAGCACTCATAACTAAGAAAAAAGTTATGAGTCTAGATAAATAAAAAGGGTGGTGCACCCACCAGGCAAAGCCTGTTTTGCTATTAAAAAAAATTAAGGAAAAAGTTTGGAGTATGGATAAGTATTTCAAATATTATTTATTAGTTTTTTTTTGTCATGGTTTTTTCCCCTATTTTTTGTGCTTTATTTACTTTTGTTGGAATGTTTTTTTTAAAATTTTTGTTTTATGCCTAAAACAAAGATTATTGATAATATTTGATTTAATTACTAGAAGTAAACAATATATATATTTTTTGATAAATGGTAAATATATTGCTTAATCTCAAAAAACAAGTCATCTTTACAAGAAGCATATTCGATAGTTGAACATATTAATTTGTATTTTAAAATACCCTATATGGCTAAGAAGTACTTGATCAAAGTGGTAACAGTATTGGACCAAGTTAACTACGATCCATGATTAAATCTGTGCATGGACAAATAGTAATGATTGTTGGGAGAAGTTTTTCTTTCAAAAGTGACCTACCCAATTCGAAGACAGATTAGTATGAATAATGATTTTGAACACCGGATCCACTATATACCAAAAACGAAAAAAAAACCATATGACACTCTTGAATTTGGACTCCGAATGCCTAATATACTAAAAAATAGAAAAACTAAAACATATGATACTTTTATAGGAAAATAATGATATATTAATATTACTCTAAAATATAGTAAAATACGCACAACGTGCGGGCATCATACTAGTAAGAAAGAAAGTTGAAGACACAATGCATAAGGAATTTGAATGAGCTAGCTTGCCGAGGTAAGGAATTGATTATAATCTTGGAATTAATAAGTGACGGTGCTTGTGGTGGGAAGAGTGAAATCTCCAATTGCCTATGTGAAAAATCGATTAACTTTCTTAATTCAGGAAAAAAAAATCGATCAACTTTAGTTTAGCAGTGGTGTTTATAATCGATCTCGTATTGTCTTGAATGTTACATCCACAAGTTGTAGTGGCTCTCAAAAGGTTTAAAGTCCGGCAATCGGAATCAACTTGGGGACAACATATTCTTGTGTGGGATACTGGAAGTACAATCGAGTTGAGATTATAACCAATGATCAAGGCAACCGGACGACACCTTCTTAGGTCGCTTTCACCGACAAAGAACGTCTCATCGGCGATGCTGCTTTCAATCAAGTTGCCTCCAATCCCATCAACTCTGTCTTCGGTAAGTAACACGGCTTTGTTTCTTACTTTAGTTTTAACTACTACTTTGATTCCGTTATTGCAAAAGATTAATTTTAAGTGTCAGGGTTAGGGATTTTGGTCAAGTAAGCTAGGGAAAAGCTTGTTATTTGTTACTGCAAGCGTTAGATATATTATATCATTATTCATGTTATAATTGTAAATACTTAGTAAAAATTAAACTTGATAGTAATTTCATGACAGATGGAGTGTACATGTTTCCTGTGATATCTTAGGAAAATATGAATCATCCATCCTCATAAAAAACTAGAAGACTATATGGTGCTTAACTTTTGTATATGTATATATATATATATATATATATATATATATATTTTCAACAGATGCCAAGAAGTTGATTGGTAGGAAATTCTCGGACGAGACAGTTCAGAGTGACATGAAGCTCTGGCCATTCAAAATCATTGCTAACGAACAAGACAAACCAATTATTGTAGTCAACTACAAAGGTGAGACAAAACAATTTGCTACTGAAGAAATCTCGGCTATGGTTCTAACCAAGATGAAACAGATTACTGAGACCTACATTGGATCAGAGGTGGAGAAGGCTGTTGTAATCGTCCCGGCCTATTTCAATTATGCTCAGCGTCAGGCCACATTGGATGCTGGAAAAATTGCAGGAATTGATATCATACGTATCATTAATGAACCAACAGCTGCTGCCATTGCAAACGGACTTGATAATATTTCCGGCGCAACGGGGAAGAGGAATGTTCTTATATTTGACCTTGGTGGAGGTTGTCAAAGTCACCTTGGGCTCCCATCTCAAAACCAATTGGCAATGAGTGGGGTGGCCTTTAGCACTTATAAACAGGTGACAGATCCTTCACGACACCGATGTGGGATTCTTTTTGTCCCAACACCCTCCCTAAAGCCCAATGGGGTATTTGGCCCATTGGGATTGCACAACACAACATAATTCATCAGATATACTGCTGGGTCAGTCAACAAGCCCGTACACACGGGTACATACTCTGAATACACTGTTGGATCAGTAACAAGCCCACCCATGTGCACGGAAGCGATTGACGCAAGTCCAAGGCACACGGATCCAAGCCCGCACACGCGGGTCCATAGTTATCACAGGTCCACAGATCGTGGGCTCTGATATCATGTCAAAGTCACCTTGGGCTCTCATCTTAAAACCAATTGGCAATGAGTGGGGTGGCCTTTAGCACTTTTAAACAGGTGACAGATCCTTCACGACACCGATGTGGGATTCTTTTTGTCCCAACAGTATAGAAGCCCATGGGGTTCCACCTTAAAACCAATTGGCAATGAGGAGAGTAATCCATTGTGCTTATATACTGATACAAAGTGTCTCCAGACATCAATGTGGGATAAATACTTCAACACTCCCCGTCAAGCCCAACGGGCTTGGACTAAATCACCAGGATCAGGAAATAAACCGTGGAATAACATCACGGGCCGCAGAATAACGTCGCGGACTTAAATTGGGCCACCGAATAACATCGTGGGCTTAAAATCACCACAAGCCGAGCCCGCTCTGATACCATATAGAAGCCCATGGGGTTCCACCTCAAAACCAATTGGCAATGAGGGGAGTAGTCCATTGTGCTTATATACTGATACAAAGTGTCTCCAGACATCAATGTGGGATAAATACTTCAACACTCCCCCTCAAGCCTAAAGGGCTTGGACTAAATCACCAGGATCAGGAAATAAACCATGGAATAACATCATGGGCCGCAGAATAACGTCGCGGACTTAAATTGGGCCACCGAATAACATCGTGGGCTTAAAATCACCACAGGCCGAGCCCGCTCTAATACCATATAGAAGCCCATGGGGTTTCACCTCAAAACCAATTGGCAATGAGGGGAGTAGCCCATTGTACTTATATACTGATACAAAGTGTCTCCAGACACTAATGTGGGATAAATACTTCAACAGAGGTACGTTTGATGTGTCAATTCTCACCATAAAAAATGGTAACATTGAAGTCAAGGCTACAGCTGGTGATACTCATCTTGGTGGGGAGGACTTCGACAATCGAATGGTGAACCATTTCATCGAGGAATTCAAGAGGAAACACAACAAGGATATTAGCGGAAACCCTAAGTCATTAAGGAGATTAAGAACCACTTGCGAAAGGGCAAAGAGAACCCTCTCCTCTTCGTCCATTGCGGTGATCGATGTAGATTGTTTGTTTGAAGGCATTGACTTCTCATCAACTCTCACCCAGCCCAAATTCGAGGACTTGAACAAGGATTTATTCGTCAAGTGCATTGAGACAGTTGAATAGTGTTTGGTAGATTCCCAGATCAATAAGAATGCTATAGATGATGTTGTGATGGTAGGCGGATCAAGCAGGATTCCGAGGGTTCAACAAATATTGCAAGATTTGTTAAATGGAAAGGAGCTCTGCAGAGACATCAATCCATATGAAGCTGTTGCTTACGGTGCGACAATTCAAGCCGCAATCTTGAGTGGTCAAGGCAGTGACAAGATTCAGGATCTTGTACTTACAGAGGTCACTCCGTTATCTCTAGGTTACGAAACCGTGAGAGAAGTAATGAATTTTGCGATTCCCAGGAATTCCGCCATTCCGACCAAAGTAACAATATCAGCTAGTACTAGCACCGATAACGGTTCTTCTGTGGGAATTAGAGTGTTTGAAGGTGAGAGAGCAAGATCAAGCGACAACAATTTGCTGGGCAACAGCGTGCTCAGTGGCATTCAAATCGCCCCAAGGGGAGTTCCTAAACTGGAGATCACCTTTGATCTACAAGCCAATGGGATTCTGGAAGTTTCCGCGCGGGATAAAGTCACCGGGAGCAAGAATAAACACCACCATCAAGAGTGGAAGGTTGTCGAAAAAGGAGATCGATGGGATGATGATTGAAGCTAACAAATTTAATGCCGAGGACGAGAAGCATCGGAAGAAGAGTGTCGCATTTTCAGCCTTTGTGAGTTTCCTCTGTCAAATGAGGGATGATGACACAAACAGCAAATATGAGAGAACGAATATTGAAGAAGCAGTAAAGGCAGGATTTGAATGGTTGGATGAAAAGAAAGAGCTTGCTGAGGTTCATGAATATGAAGACAAAAAGAAGCAACTGATGCGCATTTTGAAACCAAGTGGCGGCAGCCGCGGCAGCGGGTGGCGGGGGTGGTGGTAAGGAAATGCGAAAATTGATGAGTATGATTAGCGGGGACGAAAAAAGGTCAAATAAACGCACTAATGAAAATAAATAAAAGATAAAATTTAATTTTATCTCTCCTTTATATTTCTCAATTTTGACTATTTTTATTTTTGTAGGATAGAATCATTGAACGATTACATTCAAGAGCAAATATAATAATTACTTAGTAACAATAATAATTTTATCAAGGCTTTTCCTCTAAATTTCAAGCTGTATTTACGTTATACATATCATTCAAAATTACAGTTTATCCATATGAAATCACACAACCTCGATGCCGAAATAATTATTCAGTAATATGACAATCATTTTGTGTATACATGTATGTACATAGTTTTGCTTTGCATTCTGCATTAGCTTCAAAAGTCTTCTGTTCTCTGATTTTGACTTCATTTGCTCCGGTTTCTGCCATTTCAATGGATGAGAATGCCAGGAGTTCCCCCGGAATCGGAATTTGCTTGGGGACAACACATTCTTGTGTAGCAACAGGAGCACCCTTTCTTACTTTGCTTTCACAGATCAATGAATGTCTCATTGGCAATGTTGCTTAGTGCTTACGTTAAATCTAAAATTGAGTCCGCAATATCTTGGTTAAGTCAATCATCCCCCCTGTATCAGTTAAGACTGACTGATTTCCAGTAAAATTAATAAAGTCGTATTTTTGCAAAGAGGGGAAAAAAAGTTGTCCTCAACATGATCAAGCTGTCTAACACGATCAACCTTTCGAATTTTCCTCACATTTCCCTTATTTGAGGTATTGGTTCCAATATGTAAAATAAGCCTAATGAAAGTGACCAAAGACGAAGAGGCCTTCCCCTTTCGTTATCCTCCTTTTATAGGTATCGATCGACTTTGCCGGTGCCAAATGTAATTATTTGTTCCTTTCAAGGTTACTGTTTTTTGCCCTATTGCTGAAAAAAAGGATTTTCAAGTAAGTTTTTTAAAAGTCCGTACTGTTTTTATTATCATGTTGTAATCAATTGTTTATTTAATGATAGGTATGTGTATCATGTGCGTGGTTTTCATGCTGCTGTTGTAATCTTCTTTTCGGGATTTTTATCATATGGTCTTACTCTAGTTTGTATCTAAATTTAAAAGGGTGATCAAATTAAGTAAGATTCGGCTCAATTCCTGCTCGATAAGCTGTTTTGTACTGTAATTAAGCTACGGTTTCCTTGGTTAAAAAATTATGTATCTAAAGAATGGAGTTTTTGCATTTGGATTATTTGTGATTTGGAATCAATGAAGGTGATGATTTTGGGTTTTGAAATCAATGATTTTATGAAAATAAAGAGTTGAACGTGGAAACAGTATTTAAATGATTGAATTACAGGAAACACAATATTTGTAGGTAAAAAACACGTAAATAGGTTTTGATTTTACTAGTTAAAATTCTTTGTACAAAGATAGCCAATTTCCTCCTCCTAGTAACTTATTTACAATTCCCTCGTAAGGTATCCATCCCCTATTTATCTTCCCACTTTTTACAGAAAGAACTCATGTTCTTTGTCTTTGACTCTAATTACAACATCAAGATTAAAGTAAAATATATAGCTGGTGTGTATATATAAATTTTATTTCCTACATCCCAAAAAGATAGTTACATTACATTTTATGAATTGTACTGCCTACGAAAAAGGACATCGACTGCTTTTCATTAAAAGTGATTATTCATTTCAAAAAATAGAAAAAAAAGGACACACGACATCGCTTTTTTTTTTTTTTGTGAGATTTAGAATCATGCTTCCAGATATAAGTTTGAAATGTTAAACTCTAACTTTGACATGAAAGACATAGGTCTAGCTGATGTGATTTTAGGTGTTAAAATCATAAGGACAACAAATAGTTTTGAGTCAAGCTCATTACATAGACAAAATTCTTGATAAGTTTAACAAGAATGATTCTGGAGTCACAAAAATGCCATTAGATAACAATATCCATTTATTCAAAAATCGTGGACAGGGTATATCTCAAGTGGAATACTCACGGATAAAGGGAGTTTGATGTATCTAATGAGTTGTACTAGACCAGATATTGCTTACGTTATAAGCAAATTGAGTTCATACACGAGTAATCCTAGTGCTGAACATTGGACTGCTATAATTAGAGTATTGAGGTATTTAAGACATACTCGTGATTATGGGCTGCATACTAGATATCCATCTGTGTTGGAAGGATACACAGATGCCAATTGGATATCTGATATTAAGGACTCACACTGCACAAGTGGCAATATGTTTACACTAGCTGGGGCAGCCGTGTCATGGAAATCCTCAAAACAAACTGTAATAGCCAGATCCACAATGGAATCCGAGTTCATTGCCTTGGATAAGTGTGGTGAGGAGGCTGAATGGCTACGCCATTTTTTTGGAGGATATTCGAAAGTGGGAAAAACATGTTCCACCTATCAGTATTCATTGTAATAGTCAATCGGAAATTGGAAGGGCACAAAGTACTATGTATAATGGTAAGCCGAAACATATTCGTCGTCGACACAATACCATTAGAGAACTCCTCTCAACAGGGATTATCACAATTGACTATGTGAAGTCAAAAGATAATCTTATGGATCCGCTAACCAAAGGGTTAAATAGAGAGGCAGTTGAAAGATTGACCAAAGGAGTGGGCGTAAAGCCTGTGAAAAAATAAAAGTCTTAAGAAGGAAAACTCAACCTTGGAGATCCCAAAATCTAGGTTCAATGGGACAACCTAATCATAAGACTTAGTGTGGTCACTGTGGGGGTCAACCTCAACTCATTCCTGTCATCAAACAGTGATATGACGGAAAAGGATAGCACGGTTGCTTTAATGATATTTAAGTGAGTAATACCATTTACTCTAGACTTAAGGAGGAGTCACTTATGTGAGGGAGAAATGGGGCCGCTTCAAAGGAGAACTGTTAAGGCTCAGTTCTTTAGAAACTCTTGCAGAACCAGGACGTGTTCATGGCTAAAAATGGATAAAATCATGAGAACGGAACTAAATAGAAATGGTTCCTGTGTACCGTATGTGAGTTTCTTTACATAATATAGCCAGACAGTTCAAGGACATCGCGTCTACTGGACAGCTAGTAAAGTAAACATACTTTATAAAGAGAATGTTCAAAGGGTAAAACCTACTTTCTTTATGCAGGGATCAGTTCGTGAACACCATCATCGTTTATTCGAAACAATATTTCATTCATGTGGGGAATTGTTGGAAATGAGTAGTAAGTGAATGAGAATTAAGTTCTCAAGAGTTGGAAAAATAGAGTTTAAGGCTAAGGGACTTTGTCCCACATTGGTGTTGGGAAGAGTTGGAGCTCACTTTATAAGTGAGAGCCCAAAATTGACTTGCAAGTTGACTTGCCAATACTATACCACATCTCTTCCGCTCGCGTGCGCCCACGCAGGGGGGTGCAAATGGAGGTCCGATTTGGGGCCAAAATAGCTTGACTCATGTGTGCACACGACTTGCGGACACGAAGGCCAAACCGAACTCTCGCGGGCCTGATCAACCCACGTTTTGCTCCGGTTCAAATTAATTTTTTCCATCAAATTTTAAATGGAGAATTATATTCATTCATTTCAGTCAAAATGAAACTGAAACGTTACGATTGTTTTGCTGTCATGAATGATCAGAATGAATTGGCATACTTAATTATATTAAAAGGCACATTTTTGTGCCATAAATTCTCTGCATTTAATAGAATTAAAATGCTAAAACCGTTACAAGGTTTGCTGCCATTTGAAAGATTTTTTCAGCCTATAAATAGGAACTCATTTTCCAAAGTTTGACACACCTTTTTTCCCATCTCTTCTCAGATTCTTTTGAGCCTTTCTTTCCTTCCAATTTTCGGTGTTCATCAATTTGTTCTAAGTTTTAGTTTGCTTGTAGAGTTGCTGTGTGCTAAGTAGTCTCTGCGTTTCCGTTGTATCCTGGGAAATAGTTGCTCGAGATCCTCAAGCACCATAGGAGGGTGCAAATCTGTTTTAAGGAGATCATGTTTTCACGAGGCTCGGATCTTTCCTATTCTGATTTTCCTTTACCTTTGCGAATACTCTTCGTATTTGTCATAGTTATCTTGAGTTATGATTATCATGTTATAGTTTGAGTTGTATAGAATCTCGACTCTTATCTATTGTATATATCTTCTCTGATGTAATGTACTATATATGTGTGATACGTCTCAATGAAAGGCATCTCATTCTGATCAGTAGTAGAATCTGACTTGGTATCACCTTATCAGGTTCTTTCTCTCCATTCTTTCGATCCCTCCTTCACATCACCATGTCAGCCGATGCTTCCTCCACTGTCTCTTCATCATCAATCTTTTCTTCGTCGTCTCCGACGACTGCTTCTGTTTCCGCTTCCTCCTTCTTCTCCTTCTCTACTAATGTTTCATCCCTTCACCAATCATTTGCGAGTTGGAAGCTCCAATTCACTCCCCTTCTGAAAATGCTGAATCTTCAATCCATTGTAGATGGCTCGGAACCCACTCCCGCCTCCACCATCACTGATCCTATCACCAATACCTTGCAACCGAATCCCGCGTTTGCTATTTGGCAACAAAAGGATCAGTTGTTATTCTCATGGATCCTCTCCTCCATTTCTGAGTCGACCTTCCCTTCTTTGCAAGGGATTTCTACCTCTGCTCAAGCTTCGGCTGTTCTCGAGCAAGCTATGGTTTGCTATCCCATGCTCAGCAAACACAAATCGT